TATATATACAAAATTCTGTGCGTCTCCTGGAGGCTAAGCCCCCCTTGTCATTAAAACCTAGTGACACCCCTGAGAGAGAGAGAGAGAGAGAGAGAGAGAGAGAGAGAGAGAGAGAGAGAGAGATGTGGATTAAACTTCCTTTATGTTGCTTTTCCTTTTTTTTGTTGCTACTTCAGTTCCTGTCTAATGCAAGTTTAATCAGAAAAGTGCTTGAGCTCTTCTAATATTGTAATGAAGCTCATTAGTCTGTTTACACGAGCGTTTGAAGGCTCTCACTCAGGTTTGAGTTAACATTTCAGACTCTCAGCACATTAAAAACACAGTAATACTAAATAATCAGTGTACTCCTACAGGTGACTGTTGAAAACACATGCAGAGACACACGTTAGAGTCATGGATGGTTGTTTGTTTTTGCAAACTTGACGCGTTCGAGACCAACTAGAAATCTTTGTGATTGATTCCCCGAACAGTTCTCGCCAAAGGGTCTTCTGCACACAATCATCGAGCTCATTCAGCGAAAAAATAAAATAAAATAAAATAAAAGATCATTCCGATCAGAACTGCATCGGAAAGCACAAAGTGACAGCATCACATACCAACAGGCACATAAACAAATAAAGTCACAGAAAAAGATCTGAGCCAAATCAAAGATGCAAAATCAGTACCTTCTGCTCACGCACAGCTTCATCCTGGAGATGGAGAGATTAAAAAAGAAAAGAATCCAGCTGGCAGGAGTCTCGCTGGGGTTGGAGGAACCACCCCCCACCCCCCACCACCGCCTGTATGTGCTTTCTGCCCAGCTTTCCCCTTAAAGCTCAGAGAAAAGCCCAAACACACATGCACACACCAGCACAGCTGCCGCCAACGCCACGCCACTCCAGCAGCAGCAGCTGAGCCAAAAAGGGGGTGAAAAAAGGGGAGGCAGATAGACTCTGTGCAAGAGTGGAAAGACAGAAAGAAGAGTGGGAGGGAAGGAGCTTAAAGGAAGAAGACAGGGAGAACACGGGGGCGTGATGATGGAGCGCTGGAAGATATGAGCAGAGCAGTGAGGGAGGGAGGGAGAGAGGGATGGAGGGGAGAAGCTCACCTGATAGCGTCTACGCTGCTCATCTCCTCGTCAGGCAGCTAAAGGAAACGACAGCATGTTAGTGGAGGGGAACCATCAAACCGGCCCAGGAGCTGCCAAGTAGGACACGGCTGCAGCACACACTCATCGAAAAGACAAATACTCTCTCTCCCTCTGTGTTTTTGTTTACGCCTCCCTCCATCTCCCTCCCACGCTCCTTTCTCCTGCATGCTGCCTCCCCTGACTCATTCCCAGTTTCCCCACTCCTGCATCCATCAGACTGTACCCCCAACGTCTGCGCTCACTTGAGGTGCGAAGAGAACAATCATATCATACCAGCAGTGTGAGAGGGGAGGAGGGGGGGGAGAAACCCTCCATTGCAGCCAGACTGCAGATACCAGATACCCCCCCCCACCCCCCATAAGGGATACTGGCAGCAAGTCAGCATCCCCGGCGAGGTGCTGAATTCGCAGAGTGGGGGAACGAGAAAGAGAAAGGCAACGATGTGAGGAAAAAAACAGAAGAGGGAGAAGGAAACAGGTGGTTCAATCTGTTGGATTTCATCTTTAAAGTCCCGAGCTGTTAGAAAGATTACTTTTTATACAAATCTCTGACACACTGTAAAAACAAACAGTTCAGATGTAAACAATCAAACTAATGTATTTGAGTAGATTAACAACCGATGCTTCAGAACAGAAACTCGACCCAGATAAAGGCGTAGAATTCTTTGAAAGTCTGCATGTTTCTTTTTCATCGTATTTAAGTTTGAGTGAGTTGAGTTTGATTAACCCTCCTGCTCCCCTTGGGTCAAACTGACCCACAAGGCTTAGTTTTAAACTGGAGGCCTGTGGGCTTATGGGCATTATTTATTACTCTTCAAAATCCCTTTTTTTAATTGTACATCTGTGATTTCTCTATTCAGGAACTGACTCCTTAAAGACCGGGGCCAGACTTTTATTTATTTGTTTTTTCGTTCTTTCATTTTTTCGTTCGTTCATTCACTCACTCATATTCGTCTGTTCGTTAGTTTGCTCACTCACTCATATTTGTTCATTCGTTTGCTCACTCACTCATATTTGTTCATTTGTTCGTTCACTCACTCATTCGTTCATTTGTTCGTTCACTCACTCATATTCGTTCATTCGTTCGTTCACTCACTCATATTCGTTCATTCGTTCGTTCACTCACTCATATTCGTTCATTTGTTCGTTCACTCACTCATATTCGTTCGTTCGTTCACTCACTCATATTCGTTCGTTCGTTCACTCACTCATATTCGTTCGTTCGTTCACTCACTCATATTCGTTCGTTCGTTCACTCACTCATATTCGT